CATAAGGCGCCAATTGCAAGCGCGTGGCGGGCGAAGACCGGCTGTCGGCGGCGACCGGCGACCGCAGAGGCTAGCAACATGGGCGGCGGACTAGACGAAGGATTGTTTTGGTGTTTTAAAAATAGTCAAAAACATGTTTTTTCAGTTTTTTATATTTTATTCTTTCAAAAAGTAGAAAACAAAAATAAAACAAAAAAAATGATAGTCAAACATTATTTTTATGTTTGTTTCCTATTTTTTTGGTTTAAAAAACAAAAAAATAAAAGATAAAAAAGATCCCAAACAGCCCCTTAATTTTATGCAATTTTTATTCCATGATGTCTTGACATATTATCTTTAATCTATTATTTTTTTTTCTAGTCCTTTCATGTAACTTGTAAACATATCTTATATGTGCATCATCTTCTACCCTCCAATTACATGCCCAATCTACTTTGTCATTTTTAATGACCTTATCTTTTTTAGGATATACTTCCACTGTCCCACTCTATTGTTCATAGATTTGGCAGACCTGCAGCTGAATATTCTCATTTCTTCCAACTCGAGCTGGGTATTATCAAAGTTCTTTATTGCCCAACACTTAAGTCCTCATAGCACAACATATCCTGTTGAAGTGTCATAAATCCATACCTTAGGTTTGCATGATATTTTCGTATAGGATGGTACACATGAGGTACTTTTTTTTTAACCACCCTGTTTTTACTTCGAAAACTATGGGCCAAGTGACATTCCAATCATTTGATCTAGCTGGTCTTATACTTGAATTTTATCATATTTATATATCATTTGATCTTCAATGTAATTTTGGATGGTTATCCATTTCATATCTGCTAAAATTATATATCATGTTTGAAATCTTTTTTTTTTTGCTAAGTATAAGTCATTTTATCTTCTAAAAGAAGTTTTTTATGCCTTCATGAATTTTCACTCCTGGTTTATTACTAACAATAATTTCATTGTATATAACATACACTTCTATGGTATCTTCATTTATCTTTTGTTTTCATCTCAATAACCATTAATAAGAGACATGAATTAGAGTTGAATTTTGATGTAATCCTATTACAACTAGAAGCTCCTTGATAATTCTTATTTTTAGTCATAGTTCCATTATGCTTATTTTTAATAATTTCTTTGCATCTTGATAACCAAATCTTATTGTTTTCGATCATAAGTGCTCTTTCAAGCTAAATGACGTCCATGCTAAAATTTTCTTATATGATTTCTTAGCTTATATTATAGTAAACCTTTTCATTATGTGATTTTCTATACTCAAAGTTATCAACTGAAAATTATTAGCCATATTAAATAGAGATAGTTCTCCAGAAAAGTTCTATATAATTTCCATAATTATTGACTTAATTGTTATGCGGGGCATTTACATACGTAGATCACATTTCTTATTTATTTACACATCACACACCTAAAACCTTCATATTTACACACATAGCACTCAAGTCTTGAATATCATATAAAGGATAGCACAATTATTATTTTGAAAAAGTGAAATACACCTTTTCATGCATAGGTTTAAAGCAACAAAATGCTTTTCGTGAAAATTTAAATGATTAATTGTGAGATATGTAAATACATAATAATTGTGTGCTACGAATGTAAATTTCCCTTGATTTCTTATATTTGAAATCATAGATTATCAAACATCTATAAGTGTGCTATAAGTATATCATTTTTGAATATCTGAGCAAATCAAAACTTTCTATATAGAGATTAGATCATCAAACTATATGTTAGTACATTTTTGGTGCTGCTTAGGGTTAGATATTGTTGGAAAATATTGAGATCCTTCTGAACTTGTTGAGAGACCATAGATGATTAGAGAAATGTGGTTTAAGCATATGGTGATGTACATCTAGCTTGATTCTTAGGTATAAGGAAGGGCTTATAGTGAGATGTTGGAATTTGGGACGAGGTAGTTTTTTTTGTTCTAGATAAATCTTGGAGATCTAGGCTTCTACATTTCCAATTTACTGAGTTGTGAAATGGTAAAGAGGCTATTTTCTGATAAATAAATGAAGAGGCGGAAGAAGAGAAAAAAGAAATTGAGACAAGAGGAAAGGGTAGGAAGGAGAAAGAGATTAATATAATGGGGGAAAGCACTAGTGGAGTTACTATAGTACAATGTCTTAGATAACCATTGACGACGTCTTGTTGACATTCTCTTTCTTGTTCTCTTTGTAAATTGTTGTTTTTGACTTATTGTTAGTTTTGATTATAACATACTGTCACAGTTTTGTAATGCTAATCTTATTTTTTTACAAAGATATCTGCGTGATTTTGAGGTAGAGACCATTGGAATGAAATTGACACGAAGACAATGTTCAGATGTAAAATGTGGAGCAAAACTTAGAGACACCGTACTTGATTGGGGGGTAAGATGATCCAACTCTTATGGTTTCAAAATTATTTGTTGCCATCTAAATCCTGAAGTATATATTCTGTATTAATATTGATTTTATCAAAAGAAAGTTTCATGATGTGGTTGTTGTTCTGTAAATTATCTTTTCACTTCTCTTATGAGCTTTTTTGATTTGCATGTTAAGTATCTCATAATTATTGAAGGTTTTCATTTGTTTTTAAATGCAAAAGGTTCGAACATCATAAACGAAAAGCTGAACATAGTCCTCCAAATATTTTTATGTGCCAATTTAGTTTTAGAATATCACGTTTTTCTAGTGAATCCGTTAAGTATGCAGAATTGATCTCAAATGATCTATCTTGGTCTAAATTAGTATCAGATTTGTATAGTGAAGGGACTAAATTATGATCAAATTTCTTTTATAGTTTGCATCAACTTCTACTTGAGATATCATTTGGAATCAATTCTGTATAGTTGAGGGATTAAATCTGAAAGATGTGATAAGTTGGGACTAAATTGGTCATATTTGAATAGTTAGGAGACTATTTTGAAAATTTTGCATTCAATATAGAAACGCCAACTTTAGTTTCTCATTTTTTCATATGTGATGGTTTAACAAGGACACAATGTACTGCAAGAGGGTACTATGTTATCATATAATTTAAATGCTATCAATGCCTTTTAGTGGAGAAATGTTTTTAATCATTCCCTTCTCACTCACGCACTCCTTAATGAACCTTCAAATGCATTTAAATTGTTCCAGTTCATTGGCTATGAAGAACTGCAAAGGAAAATCATATAAAATACTATTCATTGATTGGTTAGGAAAGCCACATATTTCCTTGAGCTTCCTTTTTGTGAAGAGAATCTAAAGATATATATATTTGTTTGCCTTCTTGCTGAGGTAGATTAGGTTTTTTTTAACTAGATTTCCTAAGTGTTAAATCATGGCTATTGAGATGTAAGGTTAAGTTTTTGTATGGTTTAAACCTCCATAACTAGCTATCCCTCCCGTTTGTAAGAGAGCATGCTCTATTAAGGTAGTTGCTTATGCTGAAATTTGTTTCATAGATTGAATTCAAATGATTGTGGAATGGTTAGGGTAATTGAGGTAGAACCATTTTTGGTATGTCAATGGATTAATTCTACAACGTCAGATGACTTTGAGTGTCATAATATGTAGAAAATTTGATTAACAACTACAACAAAGAATGCATGTTTGTGTCAAAGATGTATTTTTAAAATTGTTAATAACTCATTCACTAGTAAAGGGTTAGTCATATCAATATTATTATATAGTTTTAGGTACACAATATCACACTATGATGGTTATATAAATATATAATTATATAAATATGCTATAAATATTGCAGGATTCATTGAATAACATTATATTCTTAAAATATCAAATATTTACATTGATTTATTTAAAATTTAAGTCATGCATATTGCATTCTTTTTTCTTGTAATACTGTAGTTTAGGAGTATGAATATTCACTAATTTTGTTTAATTTACTGTTGTTTTAAACTATTTCAGGTTTAATTAAACGATAAAAGAAAGAAGTTGTGAGAGAAACAAAGGAAACTAAAAGACCCGAAGACCACAAACCCTACACTTTCTTTTTTCTTGTAATACTGTGGTTCAAGTATTGAACATGATTGACAAGTGCTCAATGGCTTGAGATGACCATCAATTCTTCACAAGTTCCAATTTGACTTGAAGAAGCATTTCTAAGGCACACATAGAATTTTAGTTGGTTAGATTGATTTTGATTAATGGGCTTTTTAACTTGCGAGTTAGCCTAGGACTATTTCTTTTTTAGTTTGGGTCGGGGCTTACATCATTAGAATGCTTGAGTTTTGATTTGATTGGCTTGTTGGCTTTGTGTCGATCCAAGTTAATCATAATGGGGTTTATCCCCATTGGAAGGCTTAAGAGTGAGATTTGTTATCTCACGGATGAAGAATGCCCAATAATAGGTTTTATAGCCTTACCTTATAGATAAGATGGGTCGTTTGGTTGGTTGGTTTGTGTAGTTTAGCTTTGTTATTTAATTGAGCACATGTTGAAGCAACACATATTGACGCAGTGCAGAAATGCCAACTGGCGTAAACTTTGGGTCAAATTTGTGGTTGGACCTAAGATTTAGGTTAGGTCCAATTTGGGTTGGACCTGAAGTTTAAGTTTAGGTCTAATATTAGTTAGAACTAAAGGTTTTGTTGGAAACTAATGCGAGATTGTTAGCCCTTAGGAGAGGGAGTGCTCAATGGCTTGAGATGACCATCAATTCTTCACAAGTTCCAATTTGACTTGAAGAAGCATTTCTAAGGCACACATAGAATTTTAGTTGGTTAGATTGATTTTGATTAATGGGCTTTTTAACTTGCGAGTTAGCCTAGGCCTATTTCTTTTTTAGTTTGGGTCGGGACTTACATCATTAGAATGCTTGAGTTTTGATTTGATGGGCTTGTTGGCTTTGTGTCGATCCAAGTTAATCATAATGGGGTTTATCCCCATTGGAAGGCTTAAGAGTGAGATTTGTTATCTCACGGATGAAGAATGCCCAATAATAGGTTTTATAGCCTTACCTTATAGGTAAGATGAGTTGTTTGGTTGGTTGGTTTGCGTAGTTTAGCTTTGTTATTTAATTGAGCACATGTTGAAGCAACACATATTGACGCTTTGACTCATCAAAGTCCTTGGATTGATCGATAGATGACAAGTTCAACCTGGAGTTCTTGGCCTATCTGCCTGATAAACTAGATTGGCATTGAATATGTTCGAGACCATATGGATGGTATTTTGTCTCTTGGAATAAAAAGTAGGTAATTTTTATGACATTACGATTCCTTGACTTTCTGTTGAAATTCTTATGTTGAGTTTGGAATGATTTAAAAGTCTTAAATATATTAACACATTTTTCTTTGGTCTTAACTTAATGTTCCATTATTTAAGCAAATAGATAAAATTCTCTGACTTTAGAGCATTTTACAAAGTGCACTGGGCATTACAGGAAGAAAAAAGCCAAAAAAAAACTGAGTAAAAGAAAAATGAGATGAAAATGACAAAATGTTCTTTCAAAAAAGAAGGTAATTATCATAGAAAACTATGATGGATTACTGTACAATTAATATTACATTAGAATTAAGCAAAAAATTTATAGAATATGCATAGTAAGCTTCGGAAATATGAAATGTTAAACTCATTGATGATAAACATCCATGTAACTTGAATCCTTGGCTACCAAAAAAACTTTTAGTTTCCATAAAATTCACTGTTGCTCCTGTCACTGGATTATCAGATTAGAGGTACTGTACCATTTATGGAAGTTATAAACTCTATGTGCTGTTCTTAAGTGATGGAATTAGCAGAAGAACCCATACTCCAATGCTCCATTTGCATCTCATGTAGAGCCTTAGTAAAGAGGTAACAGTAAGCTTCTCCGAAGTATCATTGCCTTTGTAATTTCTCCCAGCAACTTGTCAACCTTGTCCACTGGAATAACTCCAACTGATAGGGGTGCAAAGCAAAAAAAAAGACAAATAATTAAACAATGCTAACATAGGAATTGTAATGGAGATTATAAGATTAGTGAAGCTTAGCTTTGTAAGAGGGCAGCGCTGCCAGCGCAAAATAGGGGGACCCAATCTTCTTGTTTTGCTGAATCCATTTCCATAAAATCTATTAAATGTGATTTGGCTCAAGTTCATATTTATTTACAAAAACTTTTCTCCTGTTAATGTTTATATCTGCATTGCATCATTTACCCTTAACTGCAATAATTCTAACATTGTCCGCTATTTGAAGTCTAATTGTTTTATATGAAGCTTTTAAGATGATTATGACATCATAATCCGATATACTCCAATGCTCCATTTGCATCTCATGTAGAGCCTTAGTAAAGAGGTAACAGTAAGCTTCTCCGAAGTATCATTGCCTTTGTAATTTCTCCCATTGAGCAGCTTGTCAACCTTGTCCACTGGAATAACTCCAACTGATAGGGGTGCAAAACAAAACTAAGACAAATAATTAAACAATGCTAACATAGGAATTGTAATGGAGATTATAAGATTAGTGAAGCTTAGCTTTGTAAGAGGGCAGCGCTGCCAGCGCAAAATAGGGGGACCCAATCTTCTTGTTTTGCTGAATCCATTTCCATAAAATCTATTAAAAGTGATTTGGCTCAAGTTCAGATTTATTTACAAAAACTTCTCTCCTGTTAATGTTTATATCTGCATTACATCATTTACCCTTAACTGCAATACTTCTAACTTTGTCCGCTATTTGAAGTCTAATTGTTTTATATGAAGCTTTTAAGATGATTATGATATTATAATCGGATATTGTCCAACATTTAGCAATGATTTTTCTTTCCAGTAAATTTCCTCCATCTCATGTAGCTTAGTAAGTTAAAATTTAGCTTTAAGAGTGATTATATTAGAGTTATATTGATCGCTAAGAATACCTATTTTCTTATAAATTACCTCATTCTCATTGTCCTTATTATTAAAGAAGATTGGAAAAATTGTTATTATTCCACAATCTTAAGGCTTGTTTTAAGTATTTTTAAAAGCTGCCAAATTTTAAACATCCCCCAAACACTGTTATGAGGACAGATAGGAGCTGACCAATTATTAGAGACCACATCAATAAAGGACGAATTCTCGATTCACATGTTTCATAATCGGAAGAAAATGATTCCATTGGAAGATAAGTTTTTAATCTTAATGAACAGACGAGCATGATCAATGAAAGTCATTGTTTGATGATCAACAATGTCAAAGGTAATAAAATCAAGCCACAATATAAAATTAGAAAGAACATGATCCACTTTCTTCATAATTCATTGTTAGACCAAGTAAAATAAGAGCCCATAAATATTATGTTGTCATACCCACAATCTAAAATGGCATTAGAAAATCTCTCTATAAAGTGATGATAGGGAGGGGCACCACCACACTATTCCATAGTGAAAATAATAGCATTTAAGTCACCACCGACCAACCAAGCCC